GTCACAATTATTATATTAATTTGTTTGGTTAGTGTTTTCAATGGTATTGTTTCAGGAGTCGTCATGGAAACCCTGGCTTGTATCTCTTGCAATGGACGTCATCAGGTATGGCATTTATTTATTCATTTATTTGTTTATTTATTTATGGTAGTCTTCATCTTCATGGTGGGTTAGTTCATTTTAAAACTTCAGAGCCTTCCGAGATGCTTCGGAGAAGATTGGTTCTCCTGTTGTATTTACTGAGGTCACCATTTTATGAGAAGCACACAAAGTAAAGCCTCCATCAAATAAATGAGAAGAGAGAGAGTTATGGTTGTACTAAACAATGTGAATAAATGCATGAATGAATGAATGAATGGATGTATGGCTGTTGATTGTACAATTACTTTTCTAGGGCTCTTCTTTTTGCTTTCCTTCAATACATTGCATCACATGTCCCACTTACCTCATGGATAATAAGTTAGTCATGATTTTTTGTATGTTTTTAATCATTACGCCTTTTATATTTTGTATTCTTTTCTTGCTAGAGCCACTGGTTGAATATTTACCAGTTTGGAAAGATATCTATTCTTACAACTGGATGTCATGACTTAATTAATTTTGAGTGTATAAAAATAATCATAATTATTATTGGCTAAAATTCTAAGAAACAAATCACTCTCTCTTTATCATTATTATTATTGAGTATTAATGGTTATGAATTAAATTCCAAATGCTATGATGCAGACCATTGCAAAGAAGCAACAATGTTATCATGAATAATGTGTGAAATGATGCAGACCACTGCAAAGAAGCAACAATGTTATGAATAATGTGTGAAACTGGCAAAACCCACAATGACCTGATGATGTTTGAACAACCAACTATAAGATGATACCTGTTAATCAGTTGGAGTGTAGGCAGTGGAGTGATGGTTGACTATGGACCCTAGTCACCTTTCCTCCAGTGGTCCCCGCCTACTAGAGCATTAGTTCTAGATGATTATATAAATTTGGCCCCTATGCTACATCGATCCTATGTAATCTTCATGACTTCCCTCTGCTTTTTTTTTTCATAAACTAGATGTACTTCATAATTTTTGTATTTTTTTATTATTTCAAACATTACAATAGAACTACTATCTACTTTGAGGCTATAGTTTCCAGATTTTAAGTGACTAATATGACCGCCCTACTATTTTTAATAGTGTCATTATGGTTAATGTAGTTAAAAGCACAGGATGTTTGTTGTAATGACTAGTAATCACATTTGTATGCCCCACGATAGCCTCACTATGTTTAATCAACTGACTATAAAACGACACTTGTGTGATTTCAAGCGAGGCACTGGAGTGATGCATCCTCCAGTGACCTCCGTCCGCAAGGCTGACCCTTGCTGTGGGTGGGAGGTATCAGGACTGGTCGCGACTTCTGATGCATCTCCCCCTTCAGCTTGGCTCATCTCTGCGGATGTTTTTTTCACCTTTACTTCATAGAGTGCCCGGATTTAAAATATTTGGAATAATTATACTATAAAGAATAAGCTAGTAATTGTGAGTGAGAGATACTAGTATCACTTTATACCGTACAGCTGGTTAATTTTGCGGAGAAAAATTTTGCGAATCCTTAAAAATAACCTGGTTTGCGGATTAAATATTTGCGGTTTTGACAGTTATTGTAGCATTATCTACTGTGGTCATGCATGAATTTCATTATTTTGCGGATTTAAATTTTGCGCTTTAAATGGAATCGCAAACTCGCAAAATTTAATTCCCCGCAAATATTTCCTGCTGTACGGTAGTTCATTCCATGTCTGTAATGGACTGTTTGTTATTATTTGATGTATATACAATTTACTATCCAATGCATACTGAAGATGTTTCTGTTAATTATAATCATGAC